CCAAATCGACGTGAGAATGATAGGGTCTGCGCTTGAACTGGTCACCTTTCTAGACAGCTTACCTGGCCTGTATCGGCTTGGCAGACATTCCAAAAAGGATCGCTCACTTTTTGCACGTCTCCAAGTTGACATTGATCCCATCAATTTGGTCTAGGCTCTATATATAATGATTGCATCAACTAGGCGTTAGTCAGCCTCCACATCGTCTAAAATTGTCCCTGATTGTTTCCAATCTGTCAGCTCAATCATCCGGGCTGTAGCCACTTCCGACTCGATACGCTACTTTCCATACAAAATCGTCTTCCACCCCTGTTGAGCTTGCCTTATTCTAAAACACCACGCACGATCACCAATGCACACTTTCTTCTCCGATGTCCTGCTTAACCCATGGCCCTTTTCCATCTCGAAAGATTTCCTCCTGGTCCTTGGCCGGGCAGAGATCTGTCCAGTCCATCCATCCGCCTTGTTCTGCATTGTCTGTCCATGCACCGAGACTCTTTTCCCCATCCATGGTGCTGAACCATTTCCGTCCGTTAGACTTGCTGACAGCAATTGGCTTGTAGGGCTCCCTCATACGCGCATTGAGAAGTGCGCGAGCATATGGCTGGAACCACATCCGATCCCAGACTGTCTCTCTCAGAGACTTCAATCCATCTCGGTGGGCATTGTGGTGGATAACCGCAGGGACGATACCGGTCCAAAGATTGGTGTACAATGGCACCTCCTTCCAGCTCATTGATTGGGTAGGTAGACGCCAGTCATCAGCTTTGTCGTTACGAATAGAGCTGAACGGGGCAGGTTCGTTCGCGACGTCGGTTTGAATGGAGGTGGCACGTGGGTCAGTAATGTTGTATTCGCTGAAGGCCTTGTCGAGGGTCTTGCTATCGCTGAAGACTAACCACTGTGAGTCGTATTCGGCGAACACAGTCGGTATTGAGAGAGCACTCTCGTAGTCAAGTCCTACACCAAATTCATAATTCGTTTCAGTGGCCGGCTTAAAAGCCTTCCGCGGGGTCTGCTCTTCTCGCTTCCGAGGTGGAAGCTTGCTGAGCCGTGCGGCTTCCCGTACATATTCCTGCTCGCCCCAGATAGTGGAGAGAACGTTCTGATCGTTTCCCTCCTGGTTAGGATTTGCTTCCGCTCTTTCCAATGCCCGTTCAAACAGGGTGCGTAGTTCATGGACTGGTCCTATCATGAAGCCAGCATTTAACCAACGTTGTCGGAACTTCAGATACGGGTTCTTCTTATCGCCAACATCTATATCCGTCTGTGGTCCATATATGTATCGCGGGAGTGGTGACTCCGGAACGGCGTAGCAGCTGAGATCGCCACGCTTGCCCGGCCAGCATCTCTTCTGCGAAGAAAATATGATGGTCTGGGTGGTGGCTGACGTATCCGCAACTTCGTTACCCAATTGCCCGCGGACGCGCTCGTTGGCCACGCTGTTAATCTCATAATATCTGTCGATCATGATCTGCGGTGATAGCTGAAACCAGAGATCAAAGCCATCCACCAACAACACCATATCCTCGTCGTGATTCGAGTCTAGGGCCCTAAGGTAATCCAATGCACCACTGATCTTTGCCATCTTATCACCAGTTTTGGCCCAATTGTAAAGAGTGGGAGTTGGGTATCCGAGGATGGTGGCGCTGATGATTGTTTTGCACAGATTTACATCGCTTCTGTCTGCAGGTATAAGAATATGGAAGAAGCCAGATCTCTCGGACGTTGCGATGTCATCCGGGCTGGATGGTTTGAAATAGGCATTTTTGATAGAGTCTGAGTGAAACTGGGTATTGGTTCTAGTTAGCTGCTGATTCAAATTGGGAGACGAGCGAGGACTAAATATAGCTCGAGACATACCACAAGGGAGAAGAGAATGACGATCGTGATCAAAAGCGAGAAGAGCGTAGCGACTCGAGCTCGCCCGAAGATAGACGGTCTCTTGTCGGCCTTTTCTCTGATACCCTCATACCGATACTCGCCCCCAAAGCGAGATCGGACGGGGCTCAACCATGATCGATTGAGTATCATGATGCTTTCGCTCGTGAAGGCGCTTGGGATTGAGGAGAGATGTTCTCGTGTGAGTGTTCCTGTTGGTGTAGGGAGCCAAAGGTTTTTTTGGAAGGAAGGAGCCTTGTTTGTGGTGACAGAAACGAGGGATGAGGGGAGCGCAAGTAGAGTCTAGACTGATTAGATGAAATGCAGAGGATCAAGAATCAACTTTTAGCGGGCGTACCCAAGGGACCTGTGGAGTAGACGCAGCCAATGAAACAAGTCAGATTATCTTGGCAAGCAAGAGGTTATGATTAGTGGGAAGCAAAGGAAGATAGAATCATGGATCCATGGAAGATAAGAAGAGTGCAGAAGATTCGGTACCATCGGGTTCAGAAAGATCCCATTGGATTGGACGTCTCTTGAGAAATACGAATAGCCTTACTACTGCGGGGAGTGCATACATGATGCAGCCCCGAGAAGAAATGATCCCCAACATTTCACCTCGAGATCGTGGAAATCCGGTGAATTAAATACCACGTCCCCCGATAATCAGCGAGAGCCAATTATTAGTATGCAATCCTCTTCTCTCTTTCCAATATCTTCTTAAATCTCAAAGTAAATCTTATGTGTGCCTGGAGCCCTGGACAACTTGCATAGGCGCTTACGATTGCGCTATTCCGATGGGGAAACTCCGAATGCACGTAAGCAACAAGTTTTCAAGCCAGTGATACCTACCTACTTTAATACCTAATAAAGGATCATCTGTCAACAGTCTGAGCCGACAAGCGAGCCAAGAATATGTTTGCTTGTGCTGTTCATGAGCGTGTCTGATTGGGAAAGATAAGGTTGGACCATCTGTCACCTGTACATGTGGATGATGTTGGTAAGACACTTTAGGAATATCCGAATGTTGTCGGTTGACGTCTATCTTCTGACTTCGGAGACAAACTTTGCGGCCGCCGGCCGAGCTTTAGGGGGCCTCACCCTCGGGGCACAGCTCCCCTGGTCCCTGAGGCCCGGCGGCAGTTTAAGCTTAGTCGCTGCTAAAGTAAGTAAGGTATTCTAACATTGAATCAAGACACGTTGATAAACAACCTTGTCAAAGGTATTCGATAAAAGCATTGAGAGCAAAAAGCGGGTCGGTCGAACTTGCATTATTTAGGTATTGTGGGTATTGTGTTTGACGCGTCTCCTGCAGAATCGAACAAAAAGACACCCACATTTCGGCCTACGGTGGACCGAGCATACCCATGTCATTGAGTCCGCTTTTGTGAACAAAGACGGCAATGAGCTAACCCATAAGAATACTACCTATTTACGACCTGCAAGGCTAGGTGCGGCATTCCTCGGGAAATTCAATCGCGCCCTCTGGCCCCCTTGCTTCATCTTCAAGAGGTCTCGGAGTATGAAAGAAATGCAGCTTTTAGTTATCATCCAATTGAATCCGTCATCGCTGAGCATCAATGCCATTTAAACATGTATGTGTTTTTATAAATTGACCACAATGTTTCATTTACAAAACATGAATCAACGTGTCGCAGAAGATTGGATTAAGGTTGAAGGCTTGAGAAAGGAGGACACCTCGGACGTTTGTGGAAAGATATCAAGTGGTACTCCGTATCTATGGATCCGTGGCTGAAAGGGCTTTGGGAATAATCAAGACTCTAGCCAACTATGCCTCTTAAATTGGGGGAAGGGAATCAATCAAAGATAAATTTGGGAGGGCCGTGTCAGAATTGGTAGCACTCGCTTCTCGATATGCCGGAGAAAGACAAGAACAGTCAGGGGACATTGAAGTAACTAGCAACTGTCAAGGGAGAAGAATCTGCAAGTGTGCATGAACTTTTCTCCCAAACAAGACGTCTTGTTTCGGCTTCAAGGACATGAGCAGAGTTTTGCCAACGCTATGAGCAAAAATGTACAGTACCCGCGCGCACGACTATCCCCTTTTCCCTCTCCTGGACCTCGTACTCGTTGGCGCAGCATCGCTTGAGGTCGACTTCTTCGGGGTATCATACTTCTCATCCTCCACTGGCCCGTCGACTTCAGATTCTCCGTTTGCACTCGCCGCGGACTTTGCGCCGTCGTCCTTGTTCTTGGGGTCGACCTGGCCTATAAGTGGGATCTCTAACGCAAGCCATTGCTGGAACGGTTTCGCAACAAAGAACCCGTTGACGTCAAACCATCGAGTAAATGGTGATGAAAGCTTTAGAGTTTTTGTTTCGCCTTTTGAGTTCGAGTATTCGACCGTGATGTTGTAAATGGGAGTGTGCTTCGCAACGCTTGAGGCAATTGATAGCGGCTATAAAAATCAGCGTTGCTACCAACTGCATACATAGCTGGTGCCTCATACCGACTTTCGTCCCACTTTTGGGTGATCAATCTGTCCCGCGAAGACTTTCCCCTTCTCCACGCCCCATATCCAGAACGTCAGAGCTCCGTTCAAGGTGAAGTAAACGAGGACAGCCCAGAACGTCCAGTATTTGGTCTTGTCCCATCCTAATTTGTAATCGGCGTAAAAAGTGATCGCAGCAATGACTACAGCCGAGTATCCCAGCGCCAATCGCACATCGGTGAGGAAGTGTGATTGCTTGAATTTCAGGGACGTGAGATAATTGGGGAGGGCATCGTCGGTGGTGTTCTTGAGATCTGTCCGGGTCAGTATGGTGCTGAAATGACAAGTCTCAAAGGTTCCTACCTGATATAGAATACACAGCTATCTTCGTCGCCGCCATTTTTCTTTTCCGTCGACGTATAGAAAAAAGCGGAGCAAAGCTCGGTAGTTGTGAAGCACAGTAAGTGAAGATGAGAGAAGCTTCCGAGGTTCATGTAACGTGGTTTCTTGGCGTTTTCTTAAGCGTTCCGTTCCTGCAGGGTCTTGAATAAGCGCCGCTGCCAGAGAGAACAGTGATATGAATGCTCTACGGCGAAGTCATCATTATCAGACAAAAGCATCTGCTTGACAGGGGTCTTAGCCTTCGACGCGACAATATCCTGCCATCATGGCAGTTCCGATGGTACAGTCGATCCACAGAGATCCAGCGCTGTTGTAAGTCTTTCCGGAGGTATCCTATCATGGATGAGTTAACAGGAATCGTCTAGCTACTGGATACTCTTTCCAATTTCTATTGTCATGGTACGCCATAGTCTCTGAAAAGCTTCGTGATTATGTCACTAACACCATCCTTAGATCCTCACTGGTGTTCTCCGCCACTACGCAACAGTCCTGCTACAGACCACCCCGAAAAAGCAAGAACTTCCCGCCCTACGAGAGCAGCGGTCTCTGCTACGGGGAATCAATCTTCGCTCCAATTCCTCCGCCATTCCCTCAACGGCCTTCGCCTCTCGAAGGCAGTACCTCGTGTCTGCATACAAAGATGGAACGTTCCTCAAAGACCCGGAGAATCGGGGTAAACCTGCTGGCAACCCAATGACAGATCCAGCAGCCATGGAAGGTATGATGGGCATGATGAAGGGAAATATGGCGATGATGATACCGCAGACGCTGATCATGGGCTGGATAAATGCTTTCTTTGCTGGCTTTGTCATCAGTACGTATAATAGTGCCTTTAGTGGTTGCTTCAGTGTTGACTGTATGCTGATATGGGGTTCGCCAATTAGTGAAGCTTCCGTTCCCCCTTACGATCCGGTTCAAATCAATGCTGCAGTCTGGTGTTGCGACTAGAGATCTGGACGTGCGATGGGTTTCGAGTCTGTCTTGGTACTTTCTTAACCTATTCGGGCTGCAGTCCGTCTTTATATTCATCCTCGGCAATGACAATGGTGAACACGTTCCCGCTCTCATTCTCGCAATTAGTCGCTGACAATTCACAGCTGCGAACCAAATGGCACAGCAAATGTCCCAAATGAACCCAGGGGCTGGCGCTGGCATGTTTCAACCGGGCCAGGATGCAGATAAGATGTTTCGAAGTGAAGCAGAGAATTTGGAAGTTGTAGAACATGAATACATACTGAAGGGGGTTGAAGATAGATTGCTTGCATGACAATATTCACAATGTTAGAGCTTCACCTCCACCCAACATTCCCCACCTGTGAATCTTGAGTGGTGTTTTAGCTTGCAATTGGCACTTATTGACTGGATGTAACCCACCTGGTCCATTCTATAAGCCAGAAGATGCTAATACGGGCAAGCATTGACTGCTGGAAAGTATCATATCATTTATGAATGGTGACGAGCAGACTCCACTGCTGCACGCAACTTGTAGAATTGCATGCGGGCTCAACTTCTGCTTGTACCCAAGGCTTCAATGGAACGCAAATGCATCCTGAATGCCACTCTACTCGTACGTTCCAAAAGTGAGCTACAGCGCTAAGATCTTAGCGTCTTGGCACCTGATCTTGAGGAGATGTGGATAGTTTGATTGGTGGCTTCTCCCGCCGCTACTAAGCGAGGTAGCTCACTTCTGGAACGCACGAGTATGTCTAGACAGTCTCGCGGGTGACAAAAAGATCGGAACGCCAAGCCCGCACTGACAACAGTACGACTAAGCACTAATTGACGAAGGGTGGACTAATATTTCCACATCGTTTATTAACGAAAAAGTGGATAGTATATCACATAGATTACAAGCAGTCATAGACGGTAAAGGAGCAATGACAGGATATTAGAACAGAGATTTACATAGAAATTTGTATGTGTGTCTCCGCGCAGTAGTCTGGCTTGGCGTTCCATTCTTTTTGTCACCCGCGAGACAGTGTTCGCTGGTCTTCGCTAAGACTAGATCTATCTACTTTATCATCTTATCATTACTACCTCATATTCCTCATTTCGAAATGCTCCGTTTGACTTCTTCCGGGGAGTTCAAGGCGCATGCGTTCTTCAAATGACTGCAAGGCACCGCTGCTCGTAGGCCCGGCGGCAGGCATAGCTGCATCCGAATTCCCAGATCCAGTGCTTGGTAGAACAGCTTGGGGGCTGACAAGGCCAGTGCGCGGATCTATCCTATCAGGCAGCCCAGCCACCTCAGGAATATCTGCCATCCCCTGCTCCATCAAATCTCTCTCTTCGTCTCCTTCCTCTGTCCTCTTTCCCCTGGAGAAGAAGCGGTTGCGGTGAATGAGCGAGTTGCCCCTCCTCATCTTAGACTGAGAATCCGCGGAGGCGCGACGGCCCAAACCGAAAGGCGATCGACTATTGCCGGTGCGAGACTCTGCTCGTCGGAAAGTGGCTTCATCTTCTCGGCGATTAGCCTCGTCCTCCTCGACGATTCGGGTCTCGCGAGAACGGGAGGTTGAGTCTGTCCCGATATCGGGGACGCGAGCCTGGCTGCGATTGTCGTCTAAATCACCCATAATATCTGCAGAGCTGACATCTTTCATACCGAGAGAAAAGTCCACACGTTTGGACATAGCTGAAATAGATTCACCTCGGGGTCTCGACGTGCGGGAGCCATTTCTAAGAATTGAGCGGTTACGATCGATACCGGGACTGTCGGCCGCATTTGGAACAAAAGCTGGATCGCGAGCGAGTGATCCAGAGCGCGGGCCTGGACCGGACTTGTGTTCGTTGTTTGTAGCATTCGAAACTTCTGCGATTCTGCCAGCAGTCTGGTGGTAATAGAATGGTGTATCCTCATTGGTCCCGGGTATACGTCTACGTGGTCCTTCAATGCCGATCTCTTGCATTGATACCATCATAGCGCAGATGAACTTGTTGCGACGCTGGAGGCGAAGTAGTTCGTTTTGCCAATTCGATTTATAAAAGAATACGACGTTGAGATTGACAGAATACGCCTCGACGATGTCACGGATCTCTGTCAAGATATTCGGCTGATACTCTCGCTTCTCTGCTTTCACGTACTCGAGCAAACGAGAGCGGAGCTCATCGATTTGATCTAGAGTAGTGCCGAATTTGACAGTCAACGGGACTGCTTCCGCAAGGCCTCCGGATCGACGCATGTTGAGGATGAAAAGCGTGTTCAAATAGCTGTTGGGAGCTTGAACGATGTGACCCTCCATCTTCTTGAACTCGGTGAAGAGAAGAGAAATCTCCTTGACTAGATAATCGTCGCCTTTCAGTGCCGCACCTGTATTTCCATATATTGTTATTCGATCGCCGACATCGAAGGGATGTTTGACGAGAACGAAGATGCAGGACTGTAGGAACTCCTGGGCCGTAGCGGAGAAAAGCCACGACAATGCCAGGACAGCAGATCCAGCACTGGTCAAAACGCCAGCAGCCGATGTGGAAATCAACGATAGGAAGACTAAAATGGTGATGATCAGGACAAAGAATAGCAAGATCGCATCAAGCTTTGCCACGACCGAGTCCAGATCTTTCAACGATGCTGTGATCGATTTACGCTCCTTTCCAATGTCAACGCAAACCGCCTCAAGTTCAGTCATAGAGATATCTCCGTTCATGTCTTTATCAAACATGGCAAAAGCGCTGTCTGCTTCCTCATCATTGTCAAAGGCATGCTTCAAGTCTTCCGAAGAGATAGTATCAGCGTCCTCTTTGACAAAAGTCCGGTACAACCGTCGCGCAAGCACCTGGGACTGCGAAGGGGAAGACAGCAAGGTAAGCACGAGTTGCCGAGGGTGGGTGCTCTTTGTGACTGCCTTGCCGGTGAAGTCACCAGCGACATTGCCAGCTACATCACCAACCTTTCCGAAAACGTTCTGGGTTTTTTTCTGTGCATCGTTCAGATACTGCATTGGAGTTCGCGCTCCAGAACCTGACGGAGTCCGCTCCTCGAAATCCGAGTCCTCCATTGCGATTTTCTCCTTCGAATACTGATACAGCTTTGTTAGACTGCCGATCTGAAACTTGTTTATCTCGATGCGGTCGGCATAGGTTCGGAGATGAAAGCTGATTGCAATGAGCTGAATGATGATCTTCTCCCCAAAGTTCAGGGTGACCCCAGTGAAGATGGAGACGATGACCTTGTTCATTGCCACTTCCCAGGATTTAACCTTGGTATCTTGATTCAGGTGATGGTGTATCATGATAGGAAGGAAGGATATCAATACAGCGAGCATCCAGAAAAAGAGCGTGGCCGGAATCTCGAGTTGCTTGCACATGTCCCTCCATTTCTTGCTGTTGTTGGTAAATATGCTAGAGACGAGGCCTGCAGGCCATGGCAAAGACTTGGCCACAATTCGTGCTCCCCAGAGGGTGAGCCAGACTATCTCGAGCCAAACGCAGAACCAAAGCAAGAGGACTCCGCCCACTGTGGCTCTGTTGAATATCAGACCGCCGATGAGCAAGGGAATGAGGATGATCAACACCAAAGGTACGATATACATGAAATATCGGATCAGCCAATTGGAATCGTGAATCCTCTTGAATGCCCTGGCAAAATTCCCATTGGGGTGCTCTGGCGGTTTGAAGGTGGACGCCTTCTCATGTATGGGATTTGTATTGACGTCGAATTGGTCGACAGGTTCCGGCCTGGACCTTGAACGATGTATTGACATCGATCTGGTCAGGGCACTGGGTGCTTGCTGGCTTTGGGACCTTGACACCTTTCTCTCTGCTTGTAACATTGCCAGGTCATCCTCCAGCCGCTGCTCTTCTTCTCGTGACTGGGATTGTGAGGTTTTCCCCCCAAGAAAATTTTGAGCCTGGGTGTCATCGGTCGTAGACCTCTCTGGGCGATCATACTCGTTGGACAGCGTGCCCTCGTCATCTGAATCACTCGAGCGGCCATTGTTGTGGGCGGGATAATGAGGAGGTACAAAATGAGGTTGTCGTATTTCTTCGACAGGCGTAGACATTATGGTTCTCAGCCGGTACTTGACGTGTAAGTTTGGTCAAATTTGATCGAAGGTGATTGTAGGGGATAGTTGGAGGTGGATGGAGAAGGATCCTGGAATTATCGGAGGAGCGGAACGCTGTGCTGCGTTGGAGTGAAAATTGAGGGAACAAAGCGAGTGTTGGGGAAAAAGGGTGTGTGGTGGAGAGTGGCTCACAACACAAAGCCGACGGCACAAGGAAATACTGAAGAAATATGAATTTGAAAGAGAAAACATAAAGGTCTTGTTTCATTTAATCTCTTCGGTTGATATACGGTAGACAAAAATGCAGTAGCGTGGAATAGAAGAGGGTCCGTTGCTATTTAAAGGCTACCAGTAAAAGCAATAATGATTGATCCGAAGCGGTTTCAGAGTCTAACCCTGATAAAAAAAATCAGGTACGAGCCGTCGCCACTATCCTTGCAGCACATCATACCACCGCAAGCCTTTCATTATTCTCTAAGAGGACGATAATTTTTTGTCCTCTCAACTTTGCTCTGTTTCTTAGGTATCTGTGATTCATTCTTATTCTCTTTCTACCTTTCTCTCTCTTTATCTTAGAACATCTCACTCGGTCTTTGTGAAGCTTTCTCGTAGATCTGGTGCCAAGTTGTTAGGCCTTCGACTAGGAGCTAAAAGCGCCACAGCCGAGGGTGGGTTGTTGACATTTCATGATTTCAAGCTCCATAAAGTTGCTTCTCTTCTGGCTGATGAAGTTTTTAGTGAATGCCCAGGAAATTTCGCCCTGTAATGCAATACCCTGACTCAGGGTCCCTGAGTCCATACCAGCACTTTGAAAGATACCTTATCAGCCAGCGCTACCAAAAACAAACCTCCCACACCCCTGACACTGGACTAGAATTACTCCCTGGCCAACAGTCTCCGAAGAAAAGATTGGAGTTTGGACGACGGAGTATGCATTGCCTAGCTAGACACAGCGTTTCACTTTCCAGACCAACCTGCCGACGTCAATTTTTATCGCTGAGACAGCGTCCTGATAAGCGCCATGCTAAATAACACTTCATTAGGTCAACCTTGGTCTTTTCAATTTAACGCCATTTCCCATATCTTGTTCCTCTTCACTGATCACATCTTCGTCCTCTTCTGCTCCTTCTCCTTCGCCTTCTCCTTCTTCATCTATATCCAGGTCCCTGCCCCGCTTCAGGCCCTTCATCTTCCGAGTCTGCAGCTCATTCAAGTCTTGTCTGCCAAGATGTATCTGCCCAATCTTATCACCCACAACGTC